CGACCCCGGTCGGCGTGTGTGAGGGGCTTGTCCGTTCGAGTCGTCCTCTCCATCATTCGTAAGTCGTCGTTTCTGCCGGCTTCTTTCCCTGCGGCACCTCCCCTCCTTTTCCTGGGCCCTCCTCCCCAAGCGTGCCAGCCAAAGGGAAATTGTGCAATGCCGAAATTCGATCGAAGGGAAGCCCCCTCCCTCTGATCCCCCCCCGTCGCAATTCAATCGAAAGGAAGCCCCTTCCCCTTGATCCCTACTGTCCCGGGGGCGGGTCGCGGGGGAGATGCGGCTCTCCCCAGGGGCGGGTCTTGGGGGGGGCCGTCACCCAGCTACGCCTCCCTCCCGAGGGGTCCTAGGTGCCCCAAAGAGCTTCAGGACGGGCCCGAAGAGGCCCCCAGAGACTGTCCAACACGGTCTTGGATCGCCGAACGAGTTGGTCAAGACGCCTTGCCGGCTTCCAGACGGCCCATGAGGCCTGCAAGACGCCCCAACCAGCTTCCCGCTTCCCGACGCTCCAAGACGGTCCAGGAGGCCCCCAAGATCGCACCAAGACGGCCCGAAGTCCGCCAAGAGGTTCCCAACATGGTCCAAGAGGGCCCCAAGACGACCCGAGACGCCTCCAACACAGGCCGAGAGGCACCCAAGACGGCTCCTAGAGAGTGCCCAGACAGGGGACCCGAACGGACATCTCGATCCGCAACCTTACTTCGACCTCGTCCTTCCCATCCTCCTCCTCTTCCTGCCGCTCCTCCCCCTCCTCCGTGTCCTCGTTCTTCTCCTGCTCCTCCGAGTCCCATTCGCCTCGTCCTCCTACTGCTCATTCCCCCCCTCGTCCTCCCCCCTGCCCCTGCTCTCCCTCCTCATCCTCCCCCGCATCCTTCTCCTCCCCCTCCTGCTGCTCCACCGCGTCATCCGCCTTCTCCTCCTGCTCCTCCTCCCCGTCCTCCTCGTCGTCCTCGTCGTCGTCTTCAGGGTCGACGGCACCAGCCGTAAGGCCTTTACAGTAATTTCTTTGAGTACATCCTTGTGCTGTCCTTGCCAGCCGCATCTCGGGGCCGCAGCAAGCTGACGAGGGTGTCTCTTTGGCTCTGCAACCACTCGCTCCGGGCGGGTAGGTTGGATCCGGCTGACCCAATCGAGATCCTTGGAACCTTTGGACCTCCGTCTACGAAGAGCAGCAGTAGCAGGATGAGGTGCCGGTGGTGGTGGTATATCGTCAGCAGCGGCAGCATCCGGCTGAGGATGAGGAGGAAGATGTGGAGGTACGTCAGCGGGGGCATCAGGAGGAAGCAGAAGAGGAGGCTGAGGGACATCATCTGCCTGGGGCTGTAGGTCCAGCTCCGGAAGAACAGCGGCAGCAGGATGAGGCTGGGGAGGTGGTGGCGGTGCGGCAGGTCGAGGCTGTTTTCCCCGCAGCTGGTGAAACCGGTCTGGATTGCTGCCTGTCCCTTGTTGTCCTCCTTTCCCTCCCTGTTGTCCTCCTCCTTCTCCTCGTAATTGTTCCCCTTGTTGTTGTACACCCCCACCCCTTTGTCCTTCACCTCCTCGTAGTTGTTGTTCCCCTTGTTGAGGTCCTCCTCCTCGTAATTGTTCCCCTTGTTGTTGTACACCCCCACCCCTTTGTCCTTCACCTCCTCGTAGTTGTTGTTCCCCTTGTTGAGGTCCTCCTCCTCCTCCTCCTCCTTGTTGTCCTCCGCCTCCTGCATGAGCACGAGCGTCAACAACACCTTGAGCCAACGAATCATCGAGGACTACATGTCGATTAACTTGTTCGCCTCCGTGGGATACAGCTGCAGATGGCTGCCCAGTCTTCTGTTGCGTTGCCGGTGGCCCCTCTCCTGCCGGAGGAGCGCCCGACTGTGAAGCAGATCCAGGACCCCCTGCGTGCCACGCTGTGCGCAAAGCTTCGGGTAAACGATGAGGATCCAATAGTGACAAGGCGACGTCCCACGCCTCAGGAGGCTTCCGGCCGCTTGTTGTTGCTGCCGTTGGTGGTTGTGGGTCATGGGCATTTTCTCGTTCTGCGAGACGGCGAGCTTTGCGAGCGGCTGCGTTGGCACGAGCTTGAGTGACACGAGCCCTCTGTGCCGGGGTCCGTTTGGCATAGGCGGCGATGTGTCTGAGGCACTGCACCCGAGTAGCGACATCTGAACAATGAGGGCAAGTGGCCATGCCGTCCTCGTTGAAAGTGATGCCGTGTAACTCCTCTGCCCGCTTCCGTTTGCGCTCCTCGACTAGACTCTTGTGCGGGTCTTTCCCGTGTTCCTTCAGCCAGGTGCGTTGTTGTAGTACACGACGACGACGACGTTTACGTTCTCGGCGTAGCAATGCTTTCCATGCGTGTCGATCTTGAGCAATATGTTCTGCTTGGGCTCGGAATTCTTGCTTGGTGATCTCGCTGAAGTGGGCCAGCTCCTTCAAGCGTGTGGTAAACATGTTCGCTGTAGAAGGCGTTTTTTTGTCCGAGCCGCTGCATGCGCGCATTCTGGAATAACGACCGCTCGAAGAAGCTTCTTCTCCAGGCGATGCTGGTCACGACGCAAGACATGGCCTAAGAAGTTCCCCTGCTTCCAAACCACGATGGTCTCCACGTCGTCTAAGTTCAGGCGCTGGTACAGATCCTGCATCGTAACCTTGTCGGCCCGCATGTTTCGAATGCGTTGATGGCATACTCCTCGCACCATTCGGTTAAGAAATACTCGGTATTGCTGCATCTGGGTGGCGGTCACACTACGGCATTCGTGTCCAAAGAGCAAACAAGCAATAATCGTGGCGTTCACGATGCGCCCCAAACTCCGGAAAGGGATCTGCAGACGCTGTAGTTGTTGATTGAGTTTCCGCCATAGCTTCTTGGCTGCCTGCAGACGATGATCAGTGTCGACGTCGTGGTATCCGTTGGATTGCAACCAGGCCCCAATGAACCAGGCTTGTTCTACCAATCGCTCGTCGTCGCCAGCCCCCCGTGTGCGGAGTCGTTCAGTTTTGCCTGCATGTATGGTCTCGCCCCAGGCCTCGAATACATCGATTGTCAGTTTTTCCACATCCACGTGATTCGAGTACCTGTACCAACACGAAGTGTCGTCAGCGAACAACATCTGCACGAGTTGAAAATGTCCTGAAACTGTCCTGTCGGGTCGTGCTCCGCTGTGGGCGTCTGTTGTTCTGGCTTGATGCGTTTTTCGTGTTGCGTGATAATTGGGTTGCTCAGCTGCCCCAGAGTAACTCCAACCTCAGGAATGGTTGAAGTGAGACTCGTACGAACGTGGTGGCCGCTATTGGCGTGGTACATATTGAATTTCGCTGGTGACGCCGGTCCGCCTTCGCGAAAACTTCTGCTCATCGTGAACGTACGCGAGAGGCCTTCTTGGTTGCGGACTTGGTACCTGCAGCGGCGGTCGTACGCACACAGCCGTCGAACCATGTTCGGAGGGAAGCCAGATCTTCCAAATATCCTTTCAGCGGTAACTTGTGGTACTCGTGGATATGCTTTCATGATATCAAATAAAATGAGGCAGAGGTCATCCCATTCGGGTGGGGCCTTGACTGAATTGCAAAGCTCCAGAATAAGGCGGCTGACTAACATGGGGCCCAGTACATCTCTGCAGGGGCGGAACCCCCATGCGCATTCTGAGAGGATGCCTTCGGACTCCAAGTAAGTGGAAATGCGTTTGGCGTCAATCCTCTCCATGAGACGCATGATCATCTGAATGAGCCAAATAGTGCGGTAGTTGGCCACATCCGTCTTGGGGCCTTTCTTGTACAGGCGGAAACCAACAACTTCACATAAGCTATTCTCCCAAAGCGCCGGGTCCTGAGCCCAACGCTTCTGTACCAGAGGGACGAGTAACGAGTGAAACTCTTCACCTGCTTCACGTAGCATGAGAGCTGTGACTTCATCGAGACCAGGGGCCGATTCTTTTAGTTGAGAAAGATGCTCCAGGATCTCCTCCTCCGAAGGCAAAGCGTTGAGCTCGGGTCGAATCGTCCGTGTGGGGAGGCCGTTCAAAACTACATTCTCGTCGCCCTCGAACGTCTCATTGCCTAAAGTCTCCAGAGAAGTGATGATGTCATCCATGGTGTTAGGCTCCATGCTGGAATTTGTCTTTCCGTGTAAGTGAATGCCGAGTGTGCGAAGGTTTTTGTAGAAGGATGCCATGTCGTTCTTTGCCATATCGTCTTCAGGATGTTTACTACGATTCCGAAGGAACTTCTCACGAGCATGCCATCTTTAACGTTGTCCCCGGCGAGAGATAGCACGATGATGTCGTCGAGCTTCAGCAGCTGCTTCCGGGGTAGGAGCCTTGCGAAAGACCTCCCAAGTTTGTTGGAGTTCGTCTCGCAATTGCACAATCTTCGAGGAGGCGCGCCCACGGCCATCCGCTTGCCCCTGCCCTCTGTGTCCTCCGCTGCTTTCTTCAAGATCGTGCTCAGGTCGTGCCAATTAGGGCCCGTGTAGGCCTTGGCCGTCTCCAGCTCTTTGTCGTCGTAATGGTGGGTCTGTTTGCCACGCAAGCGCCGTCGTGTTGCCGTCTCTGCCGGCTCGTCGAGTCCCGTGGGGAGAGGGAAGGGAGGAGAGGGGCCACGCCCGTTTTCCAAGCCGCGCCCAACCGAGACGACGAGGGGAGGGGAAGGGCCGCGAAAGCTTTCCGAGCTGCGTCTGGCCGCGGCAGCGGGAGAGGAGGGAGGAGGGAGGGGAGGGGGGGAGGGGACGACGACTGCATATCCATGTCTCCACCCAGTCCAAATGGGTCTTCCTCTGATTCGAAGTCATCGAAGGACGGCTCCAAGTGCAAGAGAAGGTGTCGTAGTCCAGCCCAAAGAGTTGGTGCTCGAAGGTGTCCCGTCTTGCTCTCGTCGGCGAGCTTCTCTGCCACTTCATTGCCCCAGATACCAGAGTGAACCTTGACATGTAGAAGGGGAAGAGGTCGAAGTCCCTGTGCCTGTTTGTACAAGCGGCGGAGCTGGCGTGCCACCTGGACGTTTTCTTTTGGACGCCAAGTGCCCCGCGCCATGTTGGCGGCATAGGTGCTGTCATAGTAGATGGTCATTGAAGCCGTCGAGGGGCCCTCCTTGATCACAGCGAGCAGCACGACGCACATCGCGGACATCTCTCCGGTGTTGTTGGCAGCCGAGAGAGCCCCCAAAAAGTCGAGCGCCTGTGTGTTCTCCTGAACTGGGCCGTGCCAGATTGCGGCTGGATCTGGGCAAAGGTGTTCTGGCAATCGTTCGCGAGCCCTCATTCCAGCCTCTCCGAGGAACAATGCAGCTCCCCAGCCGGCCTCCTGTCCGAGGGGGTCCCCGGAGCCATCCACGAAGAAGTGTTGCGAGGCCTCGTTCTCTGGAAACTCCTCGTCTCGGTTCCTGGGTTGTCCGGCGCCCAACAGCTGCGCAGTGTGGTGGCGGACCCTGTCCTGGAACTGCTGCTTGTGTTCCTGGCCGCGCCCCATAGGATCTCGAAGTAGATCGTATCTCAGTGGCTGCACTTTTTGTTCTCGAAAGATTTGTCTGGAGCGTTCTGCTGCAACAACAATATGTTTGCGTACTTGCCTTGCTCTGCGTTTAGCGCTGTCCGGGACCTGGAGAGTGTATTGTTTCACCACGTGGTCTGTGAAGCCCGTGGAGAACGTCTTCATGTCCCTGAAAGCTTTAGAAAGTATGCCGGAGGTCAGTGTGTAGTCCAACTCGTACCAGAGCCCGTTAACGTTGTGTCTCCAGGTACCGCGCCGTTCACAGGGAAGAAAATAATCTACACAGCGAAGACCAGCATCTTGTATGAACTTTACGCCTGCTTGGCCCGATTGTGTGGTAGCCGCTGACAATGTGAATGTGCCCAAGCATGTGTCGTCTGCAATCGTGTTCCTGCCGCGGTGGGCGTTCCAATCTTCCTGGAAGATAACAGCAAACTGCGTGTCTTTCAAAGATTCGTGCAGCTTGAGCATGTTACTCCATTGGGCGGCCCGTTCCTCAGCAATAAGACCAGAAAGCATGTACACGCTGCAGTACAAGATCTCCCTGTCCATGTTCGGGAGCTTCAAGCACACCCCCATGACGAGGTTAGAGAAGCGGAAAACCTTGGAGTCCGAAGCCATGTGTGCTGCCCGTGCCGCCGGCGACAGTACCACAGCGACTCTCTTGTGAATCACAATCAGGAGTTCCTCAACGATCAAATTCGCTGTCCAATCCCCGTGTAGCAGCTCTGTCAGCGTGGTGATGTCCCAGCTGTGGTGCCGAATGAAAGCGAGGATGCATCGAATCTTCTCGATGTTGTCCAAACGAGTGAAATCAACTCCCTTGGTGCTGGCCGTGCCCACCAAAAAGGGCATACCTGCTTTGAGGACTCGCTGATGGGATGGTCTGTACAAGTGTCGAAGGCGCGCCCATTTCCGGCCGTGCGCGGCAGTAGCAGTAGTGAAACATGACGAGCTCCTGGCCGTCCAGGACGACGGAGCAACTGCAGGTATGAATTGTCTCGTGCTGCCGGACTTGGCCCACCTGCGAGGGGCTAGTCTTAGGCGTAGTGGTTTGCACGTGGATTGATGCATCAGTTTGTCGTTCATCCTTTCGGCTGCCGACAGAGAAGCCAGGAACCTCGCGACGAGCAAGGCGCCCAGCAGGAAGTACGAGGTGAGATCTCAGAACATAAGCCCCTCCGTAGAGGGGGGAGCCTGCCCTAGGCCCCAAGAGGTGATAATCACCATTGCGTCCTGAATCCCTTCGAACTGCACCCCGAACACCACCATTGCGTCCCGGATCATTTCGAACTGCACCGCGATAACCCCCTGGATCTCCATCCCCAGCTCGGCCCGGAAGAAGACGAGGATGATGATGATGATGATGATGATGATGATGATGATGATGATGATGATGATGATGATGATGATGATGATGATGATGATGATGATGATGATGATGATGATGATGATGATGATGATGATGATGATGATGATGATGATGTATTTTGTCATCCGCCTTTTCTCCCTCTGGCTCACCTGGTCGGTGAACGAGTCTCCCTGAACCTGGTAGAGGTTGATGCTATTCAGGGGATTGTAGGTTGGCACCATGGGTGTTGAGCCCGTCTGGCCGTCTTCAATGGGTGTAGCATGCTTTGATGGTTTCCTGGATATGCGTTGCACGGTGGCTTGGCGGGATGTTTGCGGGCCATCCAAATTTGGTCGTGGATGTGTTAGATGGCGGCAGTACAGTTGGGATGTGGCGTCGGGGTGGTGGTAGGAGTGGCGCAGTTGATGCTGTGGGCATTTCCTGCTCCGTGGTATGACCTCACTCCTCACTCCTTGTCCTCCTCGCCCTCCTCTTTTCCTCCTCCTTCCTCCTCCTGCTCCTGCTCCTCCTCCTCATGCGTTTGTCAAAGCATGGGTCCGCTGGCAATGTCAGAAGTGTCAGGAGAGCGCCACCTCAGTCTCTCTAATCGCTGCGTGTTCTCGTGTGTGTCCTGGAGCCCAAAGAGGCCCGACTAGCTTTCCGACCATGGCGGGGGTGGTGGTTCGGGAGCTGGTGGGTACTGTGTGGGTTGGATCGGTGAAGTTGCACTCTAGACACAGGTTGTGGACCTGGGACCTCCTCCGTCGGATCGCAGCTGGGAAGCATCCGTCTTATAAGACCCCCACGGCTTCTCAGCACTGCGCACGATGGGTTGACCGTGCGACCCTTGCTAATTCGCCCCCCCGCGGATTCCCAGACCCTCAGGGTGTTGTAGGCGCTGAGGCGTGAGGACGCCGCGGCAGTGCCCCAGGCCCAAAGGGACTGGATTGAATCAGGCTCCGATTGAGCCTGCCGGACGGGACAGGGTCCCGCTTAGTCACTCTTCGGTCACTCGTTTTCCTCATCGTCCTCCTCTTCCCACCTCCTTCTCCTCATCCATTCCTTCTCCTTGTAAATAACTCCTATCTGTCGCGCCCCGAGGCCGGTCGAAAAGGCGGGCCTGGCTTTCGTCTGAGATCTCCTCACCATTTATGATCGTGAGCGAAAGCAACGGCAACAGTTTCACAGCCGGAGGGCGGGCGGTTTTCACAATGTGGCTCTCGCTTTAGCGCCGCGCGCATTCGTTTGTTTTGGGGTGGGGGGGGGAACTAAACACTTACACGAGCTTCACGCATTGAGGGCGGGCCGTTTTTAAATTTCATTTTCGATTTATCGCCGCGCACATTCTATTTTAAAAGATTGCAAGAGCTTCGGGGATTGAAGGCGGGTCGTTTTCAAATTGTGGCTCTCGCCGTAGCGCCGCGCACAATCGCTTGTAAACATGGCAGGAGCTTCACGGATTGAGGGCGGTTCCTTCACAAATTGTGACTCTCACCTCAGCGCCACGCGCATTCGTCTCAAACATCTGCAAGGATGTCACGGGTTCCCATGGTCAACGTGCACGAAGTTTGCGTTTTGGAAGGACTCGGGACTGTGCGGGCGCGGCAGTTCCGTTGATTCGCTGTGTTGAAGTCCCAGGGGTGTTGTTCTGGCACGGTTCCGGATGGCCAATACGCAACAACCGTGTTGATTCGTGGCGTTGGAATGGTGTCTTGGCACGCTTCAGGGTCTTAAGACGGTTGTCTTGCAACGAGGCAGTTCCCTCAGTGGAACTGAACCCTCGTAGGGCCTATGATGAAGGAGCTTGGAGGGAGGGTTTATTCCATCGCCGTTTATGAGTCTTGGGTTTGCAATGGTCCTCCTCCTCCTCCTCCTCTTTTTCCTCCTCCTCCTCCTCCTCCTCCTCCTCCTCCTCCTCCTCCTCCTCCTCCTCCCCTTCCTCCGTCCTCCGTCCTCCGTCCTCCGTCCTCCTCCTCCTCCTCCTCCTCCTCCTCCTCCTCCTCCTCCTCCTCCTCCTCCTCTTCCTCCGTCCTCCGTCCTCCGTCCTCCTCCCCCTCCTCCTCCTCCTTCCCCCTCCTGCCCCGCCCTCCTCCCCAGCCTTCTCCCGTCCCCTCCCCCTCCCCATCCCTCCTCCCCCCCCTCCTCCTCTCCTCCTCCTCCTCCTCCTCCTCTCCTCCTCCTCCTCCCTCCTCCTCCTCCTCCTCCTCCTCCTCCTCCTCCTGCGCCCTCCGTCCTCCCTCGGTCTCGTCCTCGGGCTGCTCCTCCTCCGCCCCCCTCCCTGGCCCCGCGCCGCCGCCCTCGGCGGACGGCTGCGCGCGGGGCGCCCTGCCCGCCTTCACCAGACTGCTGGCGGGTGCCCCCGGGGGCAGGTCGTCGCCGGCAGCCTGCCGGGAGGCTCGGGGAGCCCGCCCGCAGGACGAGGAGGGGGGCGAGGGGCGGAGGCGCGGGGCGGGGGAGGGGGCGGAGGATGAGCAGCTCGAGGGCGAGATCGAGAGAGGACAGGGGACGCAGGAGGGGGAGGAGGAGGAGAGGAGGAGGAGGAGGAGGAGGAGGAGGGGGAGAGGAGAGAGGAGGAGGAGGAGGAGGAGGAGGAGGAGGAGGAGGAGGGAGGAGGGAGGAAGGAGGAGGGAGGAGGGAGGAGGGAGGAGGGAGGAGGGAGGGAGAGGGAGGGAGGGACGGGAGAGGGAGGGCGGGAGGGATGGGAGGGAGGGAGGGAGGGAGGAGGGAGGGAGGGGAGGGAGGGAGGGGGAGGGAAGAGGAGAGGAGGAGGAGGAGGAGGAGGGAGGAGGAAGGAGGAGGAGGAGGAGGAGGAGGAGGAGGAGGAGGAGGTGGAGGTGGTGGAGGAGGAGGAGGAGGAGGAGGAGGAGGAGGAGGAGGAGGAGGAGGAGGAGGAGGGAGGAGGAGGAGGAGGAGGAGGAGGAGGAGGAGGAGGACCCGCCCGCAGGACGAGGAGTAGGCGAGAAGCGGAGGCGCGGGGGAGGCCAGAGCCCGAAAAGGTCTCAATGTGCCGCCCCTGCCTTCGTTTTCGGCTCCGTAGGCCTCCTGGGAGACCCTCGTCACCACGGCTGGATTCTTGTCAGAAAGCACCCTGGGAGAGGTCTTCGGAGGAGTGGCGTCATCGGTATCCTTTTAGCCCCGCAGGGCGGGGGGCAGGGGCGGGGCGGGGGAGAAGCGGAGGGGTCCCGATCCTCAAACGGAGGTGTGCGACGGCTGTGAGCTTGCCTGGCGGCTGTGGATTTGGTCGACTTGGGTCTCGAGGTTTGTGCAGGCGCCCATGTGCAGCCTATTCCCCCACATCTTCGGAGATGCAGCCAGTGCGCCTGGGTCTGGGCCTCCTCTTCAACGTGGAAGCGCCATAGTGTTACCGGGTCCAATATTGACTTAAGCAATTTCCCCTTCAACGTGGAGGCGCCAGTGTACACTCCCGTGGCTGAGCCTGCGTTCGCGGAGGGATTGACCTGCATTCGCGGTACCGCAGTTTGTTCAAGTGGCTTACGCCATTCCGCGGACCCTCGGACGAGGCGAGAAGTCCATGGGAGATCGCCAGGTTCTGGTAGGAACTCCAGTGGCCGCGCTCGCCGGGGGCCCGAGGGAAATGAGGGGAGGAAAAATCAGGAGTCCCGATTTGCGGTGGAGGAGGTGGAGAAGGAACAAGAGGCGCAGCCCCGGGGGGGACTACAGCACGCACATCTCCCAATCAGTGAGTTTGAGGGGGTTGGCCTTGGCACGCGTGTGACCGCATATTTGGGCATGACTTGTGGCCCTCGCGGGGGCTTCTGATGCCGCCGACCCTTTAAGGGGGACGACGATGACGACGACGCCGACGCTCCCGAGCCCTTCTTGGGTCTCTCTTGTGAGCTGTAAGCTCATTGGTCTCTGTGGGGGGAACTCTTGGAGGATCTCTTGGGAAGCTCCGTGGCCACTCCTGGAGCCGTCTCGGAGCGGATCTAAGGCCTCTAGCAGGCGTATGGCTACGTACGCAGCGCCCCGCAACAACAGCAGGTAAAGAGTGAGCAGGGTACCTCCTCGCTGGGGGGCTTCTTATGGTGCACTTGGGGGCTCTCTTTGGGCTCCTCTCGCTTCGCTCGTCCTGGCTTGTCCTCTCGTGTCGTCTTCGCTCTCTCGCCCCTTCCCCTGTCGTCGCCATTTCGGGGAAAAGTAGCTGGAACTCGGGTATGCGGACGTTTTTGACGAGCGCGCCCTTGATGTTGACGGTCTGGTTTTCGTGGTCTGGTTTTTGTTTCCAGTTTTCGTGGGTCTCGTCATTTTCATGACGGCCCCGTCAGGCCAACCCGAGTCCCCCGTACCCGAGTCTTACGTCTCCCTTTGTCGTTCTCGACGTTTCCACGTCAGGGGGGCCAGCAGCTCACCGTGGACGACCGTCTCACAATTCAGCCATTTGGCCACTACACCTCTGGTGTGCACGGCTTTCCCCTTTCTTCTCTCTTGGGGCTCTTGAGGACATCTTGGGGCCTCTTGGGGCCATCTTGGCGTCTCTTCGGGGGGTCTCTGGGCAGATTTGTTGGAGGGTCTTTGGGAGGCGGCTTGGGGCCGTCTTTGACCCGCTCGGGGGCCTTTTGGAAGCAAGCCGTGAGCTTATGGGATCATTTTGGGTGCATGTTGGGCTGGCTGGCCAGGAGCGTTCTGCAGGCTTCCCAGACTTCGGTGGCGTCTGGACACGCCGACGCAGCAACGACACTTGGAATACCCTGATTCGCTCGATGACTTTGGTTGCCTGGGCTCCCTCTTGGGATCTTTTTCGGCCTTCGTGGAGTCTCTTAAGCCCCCCCGAGTTCTTGAGACCTCGTGGGCGTGTTGGCACCAATCTGGAGACGCCTTGCAAGGCATGGAGGCACCTTGCGCACCTTGCAGGCGTCCGAGGCTCGACTGGGAAGCTCCGAGGGCCAGGAGGCCACCGCCTCCCTCCTCTCGAACCGCAGTTTGGGCCTCCTGGGGAGGAGGCACGGCCAATCCTTCCGCACGCCCTTCCGCCCCTGGTCCGCGGGGATCTGCAAGCTCCCTCGTCCTGCTGGGGGCCCTCGGCTCCCGCTCGAAGGGGAGACGTTCAGGAGGGAAAGAAGCACACAGATACAATGAATCGTCGACTCCCAGGACAATATGGGAAAATATGGGAAGTGTGGGGGAAGGCAGAAACCCCGAAAATATTGAAAAGTATGGGGATGACTGTTATTTGTGTGTATTTACTTGTGTGCTTGTGGGCCCCTTCAGACGTCTGCGCCTCTCTTCTGCCCAGGTCCCCGGCAGGACTGGCAGCGGGTCCCGGGCCTCCTTGGGCCTCTTAGATGGGTTCGAAGCAGAGGGGGTCGGAGGATCGCGCCGCATCGCCGATGCGTCGCCGATGCGGGTCGATGTGGAGCCCGATTTGCTTCACGTCGACGTCGCCGACGCACCGCCGACGTCGACGATGTATCGCTGCTTCAAACTCGTCAAAACAAGAGCCCGCGGACGATGTCTCGACCATTTCTGGAGATTTGGGAGCATGTCTCGACTATTTGTCATTCTTCTTCCAAAGTCCGCCTGTAGCAGGACTTGCCCGACCTAACTTTGAGTCGGGCCTGTCCTCCTACAGGGGGATTTTCGACGAAAAATTCAAAATACGTCAAAAATAGTCAAACAATACCCCCAAAACAGTCTGGGGACTATCTTTTGTATATGTTTTGCCTTTTCGGTGCATTTTTGGGGTATGTTTTATTTTTCGTCGAAAATCTCCCTGTATAGGGGACACGCCCGACATAACTGTAGGAGGACTTGCCCGACCTGACTCTGGGAGGCCTCGAGCCTCGGCCCCGGCCGCGCGCCCGAGCGCGCGAGCGGCGGCCAGCCCAGGAGGCGCGGCACCGCTCCGGGCAGGCCTCCCGCGGCACCATGCCGACAGGACCTCCAAGGGATCCAGGGCTTCCACGAGCGGATGCGGGGGGCCCCGGCCCCCTCCCCCTCCTCCCCTCCCCCTCCTCCTCCGCCCCCCTCCTCCCCTCCTCCTCCGCCTCCTCCTCCTCCTCCTCCGCCCCCGCCCACTCCCCCTCCTCCTCCTCCTCCGCCCCCTCCTCCCCTCCTCCCCCTCCTCCTCCTCCTCCCCCTCCTCCCCCTCCTCCTCCTCCTCCTCGTTGCCGGGGCTGGTCCAAGGATGGCGCAGCACCCGTCACAGCCGAGTGCGGCTGCCGAGGCCAGCGACAAGGGCCTCCGCATGCATCGGGGTATACGCCGTCGCCGCCGTCCTGGAGACTGAAGGGAGAGGGATGGACTGAGGGAGCGGATCGGAGGAGAGAGCTGAGAGGGGGGCACGGGGAGGAGGGAGGGGGAATGGGGTGTGCGGAGTGGCGAGGGCGGGGGGAGCTTGGGAGGAAGGAGGAGGGAGTAGGGAGGAGGGAGGGGGAGGAGGAGGAGGAGGAGGAGGAGGAGGAGGAGGAGGAGCTGGATGTGGAGTCGGCAAAGCTGGAGGAGGAGAAGGGGGTGTCCCCCCCTCGCCCCCGGCGCGCGCAGGCGCCCACCAACGGCTGGGGCCCGCGGGCTGCAGCTCCCACGCCCCCTGCGGTTCCTCCTCGCACGCTGGCGGTGCTACGGTGCGCGCCGCCGCCGCCGCTCGCCGCTCACAGCCTGCGCCACCGGTGCAGCAGCCGCTCCCCTCTCTCTCCGCTCATCTCTCTGCCCCCATCCTGCCCTTCCTGATCCTCCTCCTCCTCCTCCTCCTCCTCCTCCTGGCGCCCTCCCCACTCCGTCCTCGCTCCTCCTCTTCCTCTGCCCCTCCTCGTCCTCACCCCCCTCATGAGGCGAGAGTGAGTCGAGTCGGCCCCCTCCCTTCTCCGTCCTCTCTCCTCCCTCCACCTGCCTCCTTCCTCTTCCACTTCCATCCTCCCTCTCTCCCAGGACTAACAGCACGCTGCATGCGAAGAGCTTCGGCCTCTGTCGCCACCCGCTGCGCTGGTTGCCTGCATGGCTGGGTCCGTTGATTGACTGACGCCTGTTTGCTTGCCAGGCTGGCCCCTGTGCCGATCGGCTTGTGCACGGATGGTCGGTTGGCAGGGTGGTTGGGCGGTGGGTTGGTTGAAGGGCTGGTCGGCAGGCTTGCTGTTAAATCGGGCCTCTCCCTTTACATGAGGAACATACAACAATGGGCAAGACAATTTGTAAGGGGACGATATTTTGTATATGTTCGAGCATACTGTAATATTTCTTGACGAGCACGACCTAAGCTTGCTGTCTGGTTGGAAGACTGGCTGGGTGGCTGGCGGGGTCACAGCGTGTGGCATGCCTCTGCAGTGGAGACCCATGCCAAGAAGCACCCTGCTTGCCTCCAGGGCTCCCTGGGTTTCTTGGGTTTCGATGGCTTCGCCACGGAAAGCGCGACGCTCCCACGCCAAGAGTCAATGGACGCTTCTGGTGGAAGGTTTCTTGTGGGCTGGCCTGCGCTGTAGAGCGTGGCACGCCTCTGTCTCTCTTTCCTGCATGTTCGGCGTAGCCTGTCCCCGACCGCGGCCTGGGCTCGGGCGTGGTCGCCGCGTCGCCGCGGAGGATGGACGAATGTTGTACGTGTGCATGCTGGGGCACGCGGTGTGCGCTCCGCCGTGGACTTGGCCGATCTGGGTTCCCATCCTACACCTTAGGCGATGCTTAAGAAAACTTACGTTTTCGGCCAGAGTCTCGATTATTCTTAACGTTTCAATGTACATCTTAAGAGTTTAATAGAAGCGTTGGGTTTTTATTCAAGTTCTGAGACTAAGAATTTCTTAACCCATGATTTCTCAAGCATTTCGCAGGGTGTATGCTTAAGTCGATCATGTCCCTCTACAGGAGGAACATGCAGAATAGTCCAACAATAGTCAGGGGACGACTTTTTGGCCATTTCTTACTTTTCGTCCAAAATCCGGCCGTAGGGGGACACGCCCGACCTCATCCTATGCCCGGCTTCACCTCGGCGGCGAGCGAGGGGGGGAAGTGAGAAGGAGAAGGCCTTCTCAGGAGGCGGTGCCTTTTTGTCTTCGGGGAAGTCTGCGAACACTTTGCAGAAGGCCGGGGGACTTCCGAACCTTCTAAGGAGGCCTTCTCCCCCTCATCCCCCCCCTCGCTCGCCGCCGACTGCCTGCTCTCTGCTGCGCTCAGCGCTCCTTGTCACTTCATTCCCACGCCTCTTCTTCCCGCCCTCCTCCTCCTCCTCCTTACTCAAGGCTTCTTCCTCTTCGCCACACCCCATCCAAGCTCGAAGAACTCGGGGCCCGTGCCGTGCGCGCGCCACCAGAACGACCGTGTACTTGACACGGCCAGGCGCGCAGTAGGCAGCGCCGCGCATCTGGTCGTCCTCGGCGGCCAGCGAAGGGGGGAAAAGAGAGGGAGAAGGCCTTCTCTAGGGGAACGAGCGATCTACTCGGAGGTCCGCGCGATTTTCTCGGATCGGCGCTGGACCGCCCTGGCGGCGCCTCCGGCGCCGCCCATGGCGCGCTCCGCGCGCCAGGGAGGGAGGTCCAGCGCCGATCCGAGAAATCCGCGCGTACATCCGCGTTTTTGTGTTTATGCCATGTATCGTTCCCCTATTCTCAGAAGATTCGGAAGCCCCCCGGCCTTCTGAGAAGTTGTCTAAGCCTTCCCCGAAGACAATAAGAAACTTCAGGCGCGAGGGCTCCTGAGAAGTCCCGCCGCCTTCTGAGAAGGCCTTCTCCTTCTCACTTCACCCCCTCGCTCGCCGCCGACATCCACCATCCCCTTCGCCGCTCAAGTCAGTGGCAACGATAGGGGGGATAGGCATAGGGGAGGCTGTATCGACCCCAATCGCCCATTGATCGCCGATAGGGGCCCGACAGCACCAACCTGCTCATGAATGTGCGGATTCATTATCGGGGCCCTATCGCCGATCTATCGGCGATGTATCGCCAGGTCGGTGTGTTCCCTCTTATGCCAGTCCTCCCCCCCTCAGATGAGCTGCGTGCATTGGGAACTCCCCCCCTGAGATGAACTGCGTGCATTCGGAAGCAGGTCCGACTTCCCGATGCACGCAATTTTTGGGGGAGCAGGTTCGACTTCCCAATGCATGCAGTTCATCTCGTGGCCCCTCGTCAAGCCACCCTTCCGAAACCCACGGACTGGGTCACCCGAGGGAGCGCGAAAGCGAGCGCGCGGCGCGCATCGCTGTCCGGGCCAGAGAGGCGCCCTTTTCCGGGAGGCGCGGCGCGAGGTCGCGGGAGCGCGACGGTAATCGCGCATCGCAGGGCACGTGCGCATCTGCTGCATGCTCCTCCTCCTCCTCCTCCTCCTCCTCCTCGTCGCTTGACACGTGGGGCTCGAATGGGACATACAGACCGATCGACCGACCGACCGACAGAGAGACAGACAGACACCTCCTCTTCCTCCTCCTCCTCCCCCTCCTCCTCCTTTCCCCTCCTCCGCAGCCTCCTCCTCCTCCTCCTCCTCCCCCTCCTCCTCCTCCTCCTCCCTCTCCTCCTCCTCCTCCTCCTCCTCCTCCTCCTCCTCCTCCTCCTCCTCCTCCTCCCTCTCTTCCTGCCTCCGGCCGCCAGCTGCTGGGCCGCGGGCGTTCGTCGTCGCCCGCCGGGGTCACGGACGCGCAGGCGCCAGCGCCCCCCCCGTCCTCCCACGTTTCGTCCTCGTCTTTGTCCTCCTCCCCATCCTCGTTCTCGCCCTTCCCTTCTGCCCCTCCCTCCTCGTGCCCCTCCCAACCTCCTGTCCTGTCCCCTCTCGCTCTCTCTCTCTCTCTCTCTCTCTCTCTTTCTCTCTCTCTCTCTCTTTCTCTCTTTCTCTCTCTCTCTCTCTTTCTTTCTTCTCCTCCCTGACCTGCTGCTCGTCTTCTTCTTATTATTGCGAAGGCCTTACGGCCGGTGCCGCCGACCCTGTTCGCAATGCGCAGCAAGAGGCACGGCTGTGGGACGGTGCTTTGGGGAGAGGGAGAGGACGATGGTTTTGGGGAGAGGGGAGAAGGAGGAGAAGGTGGAGGGAGGGCGGTGGGGGGTCCTGGAATCAGGGGGTGTCGTCAGGCTCTCGGGTTACGGGGTAGAGGAGGAGGAGGAGGAGGAGGAGGAGAAGGAGGAGGAGGAGGATGACTAGAAGGAGGAGAGGCTGGAAGGAGAAGAAAGGGGAGTGCCGGGTCCTGGAAGGATGTAAGCTGGAAATCCGAAGGTACGGGGGATGGGGGGGAAAGCGGGGCGGCGGGGCGCTTTTTCTTGTGGAAAGGAAGGACAGGGGGAGGAAAGGGAAGGCTCCCCCCCGTGTGGACAGGGGAACAGGGGGGTGTGGACAGGGGGAACAGAGGGGGGAGGGGGGAGAAAGGGGGGAAAGGCGCGGGGCGCGGGGCGCTCTTCTGTGGACAGGAAGTACAGGGGGAGGAAAGGGGGGCTCTCCCCGGTGTGGACAGGGGGAACAGAGGGGGGATCTCTGAGGCGCTCTCCTCCTCGGCGCGGCTGGGGGCGGGGGCGGCTCGGGCTCGCGCGGCTGAAACAAGAAGAATCCTTACGTGGATAGTACTTACGGGGGGGGCGTCGTATCTGACCCGGGACTTCCCCGGGACCCCCCCCGGGACCCCCCCCCCCCCCTCCCATCGGGGAAGGGAAAGGGAAGGGGCTTCCCTTCGACTCAATTGCGACGTTGCTCAAGGTCGGTTTGGCTGGCGCGCTTGAGGAGGAGGCCCTGGGAAAGACCCTCCCTCCCCCACCCGGCGGGGGAGAGACTAAAGGGAAGGGGCTTCCCTTCGAATCAATTACGACGTTGCTGAAGGTCGGTTTGGCTAGCGCGCTTGAGGGGGAGGCCCTGGGAAAGGGCGAGGGGAGCGGGGAGGAGCCCAGGGGAAGAGGGGTACCAGGGAAAGGGAACGACAGAGACGACGATTACAAAGAATGACGGAGATGACGGCTCGAACGGAAAAGCCCCTGACACACGCCGACAGGGTCGGCGGATTCTTCTTCCTCTTGCCCGCTATCGTCCTCCTCGCTTCCTCCCGCCCAGGCGTTCGCGTCATCAATTCAGGGCCACTGGAAGTCCAGAGATGGCCCACGGGGTCGGATCAGGACTCGTCCAGGGGGATGATGGGGCAGCAAGGTCGGGTCGAACGAAATGGGGGATTCCTCGGCCAGGTTCACGGTAGTCCGCATCATGGCCCGCGCTGCTTTTCGCGGCGGTCTCGCTCTCGCGGAGAAGCCCTTTTGCTCGATTGCTTGGTTCGCTGGAGTGCGGCAGGCAGAGCCCGCTGATGTTTTGAACTTGTCTTCCTCGCAGCGCGGCCGAGCTGGGCGCCTTGTCAATTTTGCGGCAGGGCAAACCGCGGGCGAGTGCGCGCGGGGGTGGCCTTGGGAGAGGAGGGTAAGAAGGACAAGGGGGACATATACTTTTTGGAGTCCGTTTGGTAGCGGGGTTGCCCAGCATGCAGCGGGGACGGGGCTGAGCAAGTAGTTGACATCCCCGACCGTCACCACCCACCAAACCACCCCAACCCAACCTGAAGGCCTCATTTTGCCGTCCTTCTCTAGTGGGGGGGGGGTCGAGGAACCTTGAAAAGACGCATATGGGTCTTCGAGTTCTGTTGGGTCTTCGGGTTGGGCTGGGGTGGTCTGGCAGGTAGTCAGACCACATGCGCGCCGACCCTGATCCCTGAAAGGGCGAATATGCGCGGTACAGTCAAAAACCCTAATAGGGACGCGCGACTTTGCTCAGGGTACCCTTGCGTCCTTGCTCTTCCTTGCTCTCGCGTCCTTGGGGTTTTCGTCGTCCGCCGCCCCAAAAAATCCCAACTTCGGCTCCCAAGGGTCTTGCGTCCTTACCGCGCCTCCTTCTTAGGGTTTTTGACTGTAGCCCCTCGCTGAGCAGCGGGCCTCCGAGCACCTGCGCCGGCGCCCCCGGGCGACCGCGAGGCCAGCGGGCGGGCCCCTCCCGCGCCAGAAGCGCTGCGGGGCCCACCGATCGCAAAAGGGCCGCAGCGCTCGGCGCCCGGCCCCGATCGGATGCCCCGCGCCGGCGGGCCGCAACAGCACGGCACGGAGGAGATATTCTCACGAAAAACACGCACGCACGCACGCACGCACGCACGCACGCACGCACGCACGCGACACACACACACACAAACACACACACAAACACACACACGCACGCACGCACGCACACACACACACACACACACACACGCATGCGCACACACACATGCACGCACACACACACACACACACACACGCGCACACACACACACGCATACGCACACGCACACACACACATGCACGCACGCACGCACGCACGCACGCACGCAGCGTCGTCAGGGTAGCTCTCAAGTCGCAGGCAAGTCCCAACACCCGCAGGGACACTTCTATTTGCGATCCGCAATTCCTTCTACCCTAATCATGTCTAGTTTGAGTTTACCCATGGGTTGGCTAATGAGTTCCCTGGTCGGGTTCAGGAAATCTCGTCGATCGAGTGGCAACGATTTCAACCTGAGATTGCTCCCCTCGCCCCTCCTGGAGAGCTGCCATTTGTAGGAGTATCCGCGGGCATGGTGCTGACAACAGTTTCCATACACATTATCTGCGCATATGGGATGAAGCGGGTATCTATACGCTTCTGCCGCTCTTGGTGTTGTTCTTTTGCTCATGGCTTGTTATGCAATTCTCTTAGGTACCCCCCTCACAACGACACTCTTGATTCGGGGCCCACGATCCCAACACGCAGTCGCTCGAAGCCTTGGTGCAAGCGCTAGACTTTGCTTCATCTATCCCTTCGCCTTTTTTACAGGGCACCGCAGTTATTGACATGGTTCGTTGTCTGGCAGCGCGTCCATCGCGCAGGACGTGATCGAGACTCGGCGCGCACCCGGCGACGCGCGAGGAGTCAGGAGGAGGACGAGGAGGAACGGGTGCAGGGCAACGACAAATTGCATTTCGAGGATTGCGACGGTGACCAGGAAGAATAATGGAGCAGATGGAGGGCATGAACGATGAGGGGAGGGGGAAACACTCAACGCGTTGAAACAAGGACTCCTTGGGTTTCTGAGCGGGGTCGGACTTCTTTGGGCCTCGGTTTTCCTCGGGCGCCCCTTCCACATCCGAACACGTCCGGGGCCGCTGGGGTGCTCCACTCCCTGCTTCAGGCGAACTCGATGCAACAGTGTGCGGCAGCAGGAAGATCGCGGCACACGTCGCTGACCTGCTCGGTCACCTCCAGGTGCGCGAACACCACCTTGTTTTAAGTCGGGCCTGTCCCCCTACAAGGGGATTTTCGACGAACAATACAGAATACCCAACACAAATAATCAAAACATAATCCAAACATAGTCTCGGGACTATCTTTTGACAATGTTTGGCATTCTTTGGGTATTTTTGGTGTATTTTTAAACTTGTTCGTCGAAAAGCCCCCTGCAGGGGGACACGCCCGACTTGATGGTATGCTCGAGGTCGGCCGCTGCGGCCCCGTGAGGGAAAGGGGCCCAAGGACACACCAAAGGAGGAGCTCGGGGCCCAGGACCCTCCCCGTGTGCTGCCAGGTGTTCTGGAGCGCTCCATCTCTCCCCCCCGCGTCCCACACGTGCTCCACGTGTTCCTGGGAGCAGGCTCCCGTGCTGTGGATGATGATGATGAGGAGGAGGAGGAGGAGGAAGAGGAGGAGGCGGAGGAGGAGGAGGAGGAGGCGGAGGAGGAGGAGGGGGAGGAGGAGGAGGGGGGGAGGAGGAGAGGAGGAGGAGGAGGAGGAGAGGAGGAGGAGGAGGGGAGGAGGAGGAGGAGGAGGAGGAGGAGGAGGAGGAGGCGGAGGAGGAGGAGGAGGATGAGGAGGAGGAGGACGGGGAGGAGGAGGAGGAGGAGGAGGAGGAGGAGGAGGAGGAGGAGGAGGAGGAGGGCCGAGGGGAAGATCGAGGCCGAGAACTGGAGGCCGAGAACTGGAGGAGGAGGAGGAGGAGGAGGAGGAGGAGGAGGAGGAGGAGGAGGAGGAGGACGCGCCCGACTTGAAAGCCTCGCGTCGCGCGAACGCAGCCCCGTGGGTCGGAGGGTGCGCCCCTGCTCCAGGGCGGCGGCGCGAGGGCGCGAAGGTGGAAGCGCGCCATCGCCAGGCGAACGCGCGAGGGCACAGCCACGATGCCGACGTGCGGGCTGCCGACGGCTCAGGAGGGGGGGCCTCCTCCTCCTCTCTCCCTCCTCCTCCTCCTCCTCCTCCTCCTTCCTCCTCCTCCTCCTCCTCCTCCTCCTCCTCCTCCCCCTCCCCCTCCCCCTCCTCCTCCTCTTCGCCAAGCGACGCGCGAAGGTGCAGCCACCATGCTAACATGCGTCAGGAGGGGAAGAAACACACAGACACAATTAATCTTCGACTCCCCAGGGAAATCCGGGAAAATATGGGAAGTGGGGGGAAGACAGAAACCCCGAAACTATGGGAAACTATGGGGAATCGTTTTATTTGTGTGTATTTATATGTTATATGTGTGTTTGTGGGCCCCTTCAATACAGGCTGCCGATGGCTCGGGAGGGGGGGCCTCTGGTCTTCGGGCCGTCCCCCAAAGCGAGGCCAGGGGGCCCATTCCTGGCCGAGGCTCGCCGTGGACAGAACAAGCCCTTCGTTCTTCATCGAGTCTCGCTTAGGGTACAGTCGGGCCGAGGCATGAGGGCAAGGTCGGTTCGGGGAGGCCACCCTCGTGTTCTTCGTGTTCGTTGGATGCTCTTGGGCATCCTGGGGAGGGTACCCTTGGATGTTCCGTTTGTCTTGGCCGACCGAGGGTCTCATGTGCTTGGGGGATGTTCTTCTGGCACAGGTTCGACTGTTGAGTGCAGGTGGCCCAGGATCCACCCCCGTCCGCCCCGTCTCTCCGCATGTTCTCGGGGAATGGTCTTCTGGCCCAGGTCCGACTGCAGCCTGATCAGGAGACCACATGCGAACCCTACCCCTACCCCCCACGATTTCCGAGGGGGAGGGTGGGCTTCGCTTCGCTCGGGAGCTCCCGAGCGAAGCGAGGAGCTCCCGAGCGAAGTGAACCCCACCCTCCCCCTCCGAAATCGTGGGGGGTATGGGGTAGGGCTCGCATGTGGCCCCCCACTAAAAGTCCGCCCCCCAGACGGTTCCCGCAGCGCGCCCCGACCAGGCTCTCGAAGCCGAGCCAGCCGTGCCAGCGAGGGACCCCCCCCCCGCTGCGGCCGCGGCCACGGCACGGGATGCAGAGCTGGAGCATGCGCGGCGCCGTGTTGGCAGACAGGGGTGGGGGCTCGCCTGCGGCCCCCTGCTGCTGGTGCGTGCGCGGCGGCTCACGCTTCGGCCCTTCCCCATCAGCAGTCGTGGGGGGTTAGGGTTTTAAGTCGGGCCTGTCCCCCTACAGGGGGATCCTCCATGAAAAATCAAAAAAATACCCCCCAAGAAATAGCCAAAACATAGTCCAAAAAATAGTCTGGGGGCTACTTTTTTGGTTTGCATTGATTTCCCCTCTTAGGTGCATTTTTGGGGGTATTCTTTATCTGTCGTCGAACATCCCCCTGCAGGGGGACACGCCCGACATCAGGGCAGGGGGTGGGGCTCGCGTGTGGCCCCCTTGCTGATGCGTGCGGGCGGCCCGCCGCTCCGCCCGCTGCCGCCCCCCGCCGCCTCTCTGCGCCCACGGCCCTGCCCTGCCCGCGCGCCGGCGGCCCCGTTCCCCGCGCGCGGACCCTGCCCGCGCGCCCTCCGGCAGGCCACCGCGCCGCCCGCGAGGCGCCCCGCGGGCGCTCGCAGCAGCGTCGTCGTCGTCGTCGGCGTCGGCGTCGTCGGCGGCGGCGGCGTCGTCGGCGTCGGCGTCGGCGTCGTCGTCGTCGTCGGCGTCGTCGTCGTCGTCGTCGTCGGCGTCGGTTCGTCGGTTCGTCGGCGTCGTCGTCGTCGTTGTCGGCGTCGTCGTTTTTCGGGAAGTTTTGGCGTTGTCGGTGGAGGGCGGAGGTGGGCGCGGGAGGGCGGGAGGGGGGGAGAGCCTGCAGTCGGGCGTGTCCCTCTACAGGGGGGGATGTTCAAAAATTGGTCAACAACTGGTCCGGGGACCATTCTGAGAGTACATCTTTTGGCCATTTTTGGATATGCTTTGGGTGTTCTTACTGCTTCGTCGACCAGCCCCCTGTAGGGGGACACGCCCGACTGAAGGGGAGCCGAGACAAGCACAGGCAGCAGAGTCTGAGAGGGCCCGGGGACACACAGAGAGGCAGACGTCCATCCCAGGATCCCCTCCCCCACATGTTCCATGTTTTCTGGACGTCCGTCATCCTCTCCACTGCAGTAGTTTCCTGATTTTCACGGGAGTCGACGATTACAGTGAGCGGCTTGAATAAGGAACCTTTGTTTTTCAAAAGGGGCTCGGTCGTTCCTTAGGCTAGCATGCATCGCTCCTTCTGCTTTATCCCTCGAGAAAAAGGCTTCGTTCCTCATTTATCGTTCCTTAGGTCAGGCCGATGACTGTATTTTGTGTCTGCGTGTTTTGTGGTCCCGACACATGCTCAGCGGCCGGGATTGCGCTCGGTTTGCTTCCACCCGCGGGCTGAACCGTGGTCCTCTGCTTTTCTTCATTATCTGCAGGTGCACTCTGCGCGGTGTCGCGCCAATTATCTGTCGCTGTGCCCCAGCCTCGGTCACACCGCCCTCTGGACTTCTCCTTGCGGGCCTCGAATCAAACAAGTCTTGTGGTCCCTCCTGAGAATCACATAAACTTCGGGATTCCCGCGCGGAATGTTTGCTGTGGTCGGCAGCAGGCCCCCCCGTGGGGGTGCCTCCCGGCGCCGCCCCCTGGCTCGCTCCCCGCGCGCCGGGGAGGGGGCCCAGCGCCGATGCCCAGGAGAGGAAAGAACACACAGACACAATGAATCCTCGGTTCCCCAGAAAATATGGGAAAATGTAGGAAGTGGGGGGAAGACAGAAACCCAGAAAATATGGGGAAACATGGGGAGTATTTTCATTTGTGTATTTATTCGTGTGTCCTGGGGCCCCCTCAGATCCAAGAAACCCGCAGGGGGGCTCCGAAAGTCTGTGCTTCTGTGGTTCGTTGTTGCTCTGCCGTGCAGTTCTTCGGGTGGAGGGCAGAGGGTGAGATCTGACATGCCGCTTCGATTGACAGGTCTGAACTTGCACAAGGTGGGTCACACGACGGACGGATTTTCGAGGTGCACAAGCCCATATGGATTTCCCCCCGAGCCCTCCCACCCTAGGGTTATGTCGGGCCTGTCCCCCTACAGAGGGATTTTCGACGAAAAAATAAGATACCCTAAAAATGATCAAACAAATAATCCAAAAATAGTCCAGGGATTTTTTTTTTCAGTATTTGTGGACCTTTTGGGTGCATTTTTGGGTTTTTTTTTTCGTCGAAAATCCCCCTGTAGGGGGACACGCCCGACATAACCCTAGGGGCAAGTGGGGGGGAGGGGGAAATATATGTGGACACTGCGGAGGACAAGGCTTGGGCTGTCCAGCAGCGGGTGCCGGGGCTACGATGCGGGGGCCCTGCCACGCCCCGAGCCATGCCAAACAACCCTGACGGTGCGAGGGGTGAGGGAACAGCGTAGGAGGAGATGATGATGATGATGATGATGATGATGATGATGATGATGATGATGATGATGATGATGATGATGATGATGATGATGATGGTGATGGTGATGGTGATGGTGATGGTGATGGTGGTGGTGGTGGTGGTGGTGGTGATTGTGATGGTGATGGTGATGGTGATGATGATGATGATGATAATGATGATAATGAGGAGGATGAGGAGGATGAGGAGGATGAGGATGAGGATGATGATGAGGATGATGAGGATGATGATAATGATGAATGTGATGATGGTGGTGATGATGTTGATGCTGATGCTGCTGATGATGACGACGACGACGGTTCTTCTGATGATGATTGTGATGATAATGATGACGAGGATGAGGATGTTGATGCTGACGATGATGATGATGATGTTGATGCCGATGCTGATGCTGATGATGACGATGCTGATGATTATGATGATATATGGTGCCGATTATGATGATAATGATGTTGCTGATGATGATGATGATGATGTTGCTGATGATGATGATGTTGATGCTGATGATGATGATGCAGTTGATGCTGAGGATGATGATGCTGACAATGATGTTGACGATGCTAATGATGATGTCAATGATGATGCTGCTGTTGATGATGATGATACTGTCGAAGATGATGCGGATGATGATGACGACGATGATCATGGTGTTGGTGATGATGATGATGATGTTGACGATGATGCTGATAATAAGGATGACGATGATGCTGATGATTATGATGGTGGTGGTGGTATTGCTGATGATGATGATGATGATGATGATGATGATGATGCTGGTGGCGGTGATGATGATACTGATGATGATGATGAGGAGGCGAAGGAGGATGAGGACGAGGAGAAGGACGAGGAGGAGGAGGAAGACGAGGAGGGGGAGGATCCAGAATCTCGACCCCGTGTGGAAGGACTGGCGGCGCGATGCTGGGTGGCTTCCGATGTGCCAGTGTTGTCGCCAAGCCCGCGGGCTAAGAGACGGATGAGGAGGATCAGCGTCAAACGGAGGAGGGGAGGGACAACGACAATGAGGGGGGAGGAGGAGGGTCTGGTGGATACTTTTTGCAAGGGGGAGGTCGCGATTTACGCTGCAAGGGAGGTGCCAATGCGTCCAGATGCCTGCGGCGGGCTCCGCCACGAGGCCAGCGCAGCAGTGCACAGCAGGAGGCAGGTTGAATTTAAGATTCGGCGCCCTGTCTGAAATGGTGCGGGTCTTGAGCGCCCCTCCTTGGCCGCAGGCTCTTCCTTTTGTTGCTTCCTCTTCCTCCCTGCTCCTCCATGCTCCATGGTCCCCTTTGCTCCCTGCTCCCTTTTTCCTCTTCCTCCCTGCTCTCTGCTTCCTCCCTGCTCCTCCTTTGCTTCTTCCCTGCTCCCCCCTGCTCCCTCTTCACGGCATCGGGCCCGTCGGGAGTCTTGGGGGCCGTCTCGGGCGCGTTGCTTCCATTGAGCTTTCCGCAGCTTGTCAAAAGGCTCGGTTGGACCACCTGTGAACGTCTGGGCGGTTTCGGGGGCCGTCTTGGAGCCCTCGATGGCCGTCATTGAGAGATCTCAGGCAGTCCAGGGGAAGCTTAGGGGGCTATCTTGCGGCAGCTTCGGCCCTTCATCGAAATCTCCTGCGGCTCTGAAGCTTTCCCGAGGCGATCTGAAGCCGAAGACCCTCAACAGAAAAGATGTGTGAGGCTCCTTCTCGCCTCCTCACGGCTTCACTGGAGACGTCTGAGGGCGCCCTTGGATGGGGCACAACTGGGGGACCTTGGAGCCTTTTTGGGGATGGTTGTGCCATATTGGATGCCTCCTCCTCCTCCTCCTCCTCCTCCTGTCTTGAGGCCGTCCGGGGCGCGACGTGCTGCCGCCGGGGCGCGACGGGCCGCCACTCCGAGAGCTGCCGCTGGCTTCAGGGCACGAGACAGTAATGCCGGAGAACAGCCCCAATGAGAGGCTGTCGGGGGCTATCGGGCTGTTGGGCGACGGGGCTCTCGGTCTATGGAACCATAGGGCAATGCGGCCACAGGTCTATAGGGCTATAGGTCTATAGGGCCATAGGGCTATAGGGCTATGGGGCTCTGGGGCTATGGTGGCTATAGGGCCACGGAGCTATGAGTCTATAGTGGTATGGAGATAGGGCTATACAACCATAGGGCTATAGGGGTATAGGGCTATAGGGCTATAGGACTAGACACACACAAATCTAAGCTGTAGGGCTATAAGGCTATATAGCTATAAGGCTATAGAGCTATAAGGCTATAGGGTTATGGGTTATAGGGCTATAGGTCTACAGGGCTATAGGGCTACAGGGCTATAGGGATATGGAGCTATAGGGCTCTAGGGCTATAGGGCTATGAGGCTAAAGGCTATAGGGCGGTTGGGCTATAGGGCTATTGGGCCATGGGGCTATAGTGCTATAAGGCTATAGGGCTATAGGGCTACCCGGGCTATCCGGGCTACCCGTGCTACCCATGGGTACCCAGGCTACCCCGGCATCCGGGCGCCGAGGCACCTGGGCGCCCGGGCACCCAGGCACCCGGGTACCCAGGCACCTGGGCACCCGTGAGGGCCGCGGAAATCGGCGGCAAAGCTTATTTAACCGTATGAGTCCGCAAGGACCCCATACAGAGGCAAGCTCTGATTGGGGAAAAACGCCATCGCCTACGTCGCGACGGGCCCCCGCATGAGGGGCGTCTTGCCGGACGCGTGGCTCTCTGAGACACAGGCGGCGCCGACCTACCCAACGCCGCTTCGCTGGACCGCGCACGCGAGCGCGCGCGCGACAGCAAGGTGCTACGCTGCCAATGGTGCTCCAGAGCGCCAAGCGCGAACTGGACATGGTCGAAGTGCTCGGCGTCACGCGGGAGGAGTGTGCTGCGAGCAAGCTGGATGGCCCGCGGTAGGGGTGGGCCGACGCCGACGGCCGCGCGCGCTGCACGGCGCCCTTCGCCCGGCGCCCGCCGACGCGCTTTCCCGCGTCCGCGGCCGCGCAGCCGCCTCCCACAGATTGTGCTCCGTCGACGATGCGACGGCAAGCGGCTTTAACCTGGCCGCGGCCGCATGGGGGCGAATGCGCATGGCCGGTCTGGCCTCGCCCTGGAGCGACGGCCGCGTGCCGCTCATCGCGGAGAGGGGCCGCGTCCAGGCTTGTCGCCAATGGCCAGAGCACCCCGAACGCGCTTCCCTGCTGGTCGGTCTCGTCTGGAACGACCGCGCGGGGCGCGCGGGCGGTCCCCGGGCCGGCGCGCGCCAGGCCCTGTCGATGCCTTTTGGGGCCGCGTGGGGGGGCGCGCGCGAGTCGCCGCGCGACCGTCGACTGCCGCCGCAAGCGATCGCCCGCGCGCGCTCGGCGCCCCCCCTCGCTCGGACCGCGGGTCAGGCTGCGGACCCGCCCCGGCGAGGTGCAGACGGGACTCGGATCGCGCAGAATGGCGGCACGAGGAGGAGGAGGCTGAGGAGGAGGAGGCTGAGGAGGAGGAGGAGGAGGAGGAGGAGGTGGAGGAGGAGGACGAGGAGAGGACGGAAGAGAAGGGAAAGAGGCTTCGGGCGCCGCGGATCTTCGCGGACGACCTGGCGCGCGGCCCCCCTTTCCTGGGTTCTGCCCTGCATGGCGGGGAGGGGGCGCCGCGCGCGCCGCCGCGCGCGCCCCGGCGCGAAGCCAGCGAGCCCGCGCCCCCTCCTGCCCCCCACCCTGCCCCCCCCTTTGCATGGTAGGCCCCGCGCGGGGCCGCGACGTGGCCGCGCCCCGCGGGATTGGAAGTCGAGCGGCCCAGGGGTGGGGCGCAATCTGCACTCACAGGAGGGGGCGTGCGGTAGGGGGCGGGCAGGGGGCGTTTCCCCGCGAGTGTCTGTCACTGGAACGTCGCTCCAGGTGGGCGGCGAGGTGGCGACGCCCCGTCGGTAGAGCCTGGGTGCCTCAAGCCGCGGCGGACGGGGCAACGGACCAGCGCGGGGGGACGCGCTTGCTGGAACCTTGCGGAAAAAATGCCGGCGGTGGGCCAGTGCGCCCCGTTCGCCCCCCCCCCCCCGCGCCCGCCGCCCTGCCCGCCGGGAGCTCGCGGGCCAGGGAACAGCGCCAGCGCGAGAGCGGCGCTAGTGGCGCAGGCCCCTGGCGCTACAATGGGGGGATGCAGTGCACGGGAGGTCGGGGACCAGACCGCGCCAAGTGGGGGGAGGCCCGGCCACGCTGCCTAAGTATGGCGGGGGCCAGGCCCCTCCCCCTTCGGCGCGATCCCAGCTCGGCGCCCCCTTTTGCGGCCCTCCCCCCAAGCTTTTGCAGCGTATTTGCAGCGCGTAAAAAAGAAGGGGGGGCCTGGCCGTGGGTCGCCTCTGCCCCGGCTCTTGGCTGGGTCGGACGGCTAGGCGGGTGGCGCGGCGCGCGCGACTTCGGTCCCTTTTCCGCGGATCGAGCGCTTTGGCAGGCGAGCGCAAGGGCGCGCTTTTTCGCCCCACCCACCCGCAGCTCTCTTCTCGCGGAACGTAGACATGGTCAGCTACCGCGCAAAGGTTGAAAATGCGACCGTGTCGCGTCTGCGTGCAGCGCAATGCACGCGTGCTTGCAGGGTCGCGCTTGGTGGGGTGTCGAGTTGCGTCTGCTCACGCCAGCATCGACAATGACTGCCCGCATTACCTCCAATACGTATCTGCACTGGAAGGGCCCTCGCGTAATATGCGAGCGGGCCTGGAAAAAGGGCGCCGCCGATTTTGCTGGGCGGGCCCAGCTCCAGGCGCAGGGACTTTGTAATTATTGTTTTTCCATCGATGTCGGGTCGGATTCTTGATTTCCCGATTCCTGGCATCGCTCGGACGTGTGCATTTTTTCCTCGGCGAGGACCATCCAGGACCATCCTGGACCATCGAGCAAAAACACACGCACGAAACCGAAAAATGCACGGGAAATGAACGTCCGAGCGATGGCGAGGATTCCCCGTGCCGGTAAGACAGATGCCAGGCGTCACTAATCCCACGGATAAAGCGGAACATACACTCGGCAACCACGGGTCATGTGACGGGCGGGGCCCGGCACGGTTTCATTTCGGGTAGAGCTTGACAGTTGTCAAGCAGTGGCGAAGCGTCTTGGCTCGCCTATAGCCCTACCAAACAATGTTCTAAGAACCTTTTGTGGTTTCCACGAAATGTTCTCAGAACATTTCTGGCGGAGCCTGTCTTGTTTTATCACATCGGGCTTATGTTCTAAGAACATTGTTTTGTTCTTAGAACATTTTGGGGTTCTAAGAAAAATTCGTGGGAGGACTATAGGAATGCCGGGACTGTCGGTCTCTGCTCAAAGTTGGACCATTGCCCCCAGCAGGGCGACATGTGAGGCAAGCGTAGCAGGCGAAAACGCCAGGGTGCTGACCAGCGGGAGTTCGTGTACGTCACAATTGCTTCGAATGTTTCCACTTCCATCCGTTCCTCTGCCTTATGTGATGTATTACCCGCGCCATCTCAGTTATCCCCACTGTCGCCGTCGTCATCTCCGTCGCCGTCCCTATGCACATTTCGCCCCCATCCGCATTCCTCCCCGGCTCCTTTTGGTTTTTATTGCCCTCCGCCTCCGGCTTCTCTTGCCAACTATTTATCCGCGTCGTTTCGCTTGTTCGAATTGTGCTGGGGCACTGGTGCCAGGCAGTGGCCTGCTGTGGCAACGCCCTACGCGCAGTACGCGGGGGTGGGCATGGCCTCTCGCCTGATCCGAGCGTAACCAGTTGCTCCTCTCCCCTGCGTCCTTCTGCTCTCGCTCTCTCCCTTCTCCCTCCTTCGACCTCGGTCCTGACGTGGGAGAACAGGGGAGGTGTGGGATGGGGAGTGCATGAGTGGAGGAGAGGACAGCTAGGAGAGAGGAGTTGAGGGTATGTCAGGAAAGCTAGCCCGTGCCAGAATTCATTTTGGCGCTAACGACCTCTGGTCGGCGTGTGTGGCGGTGGAGGACGGGCGCACTTCCGCCAGGTGGCACGATCGCGGGGCCAGGACCCTCTGCCGCAACGTCCGCCAGCAACTCCTCGCGCCCCAACCGCTGGACACGTCCCCCCGGCGGGCACCCGCGCGCCGGGGTACAGGGATCTCTTTATCTGTCCGCAGATCCTCCTCGCGGGCACCGCGGTGGGCGAGCGTCCCGTCGCAGCTCCACCCTGCAGTGCCGTTTTGAATACATGCTCCGCGTGCGGATCATGTATGAAACATGCAGGGATGTAGTACTAAAAACAACGATGAGTTCATGCATACATGAATTTATTCATAGATCAATCAGGTATTAAACATCCTATATAAAAAAAAATCCTATGTATTAAAAACTGCCCTGTACCACTACACCCACCCGCCTCCAGCAGGCACCGGCTGGCCCAGCGTGGTTGGGGTCCCGCCGTCTGCCCCGACGGCCCCCTCCCGTCCGGCCGCGGCGGACGCCGGAGCTCTTGGAGCGCTCTGGGGCGTTTTTGGGGCCGTCTTGGAGTTCTCTTGGGCCTCTCTTGGAGCCCTTTTGGGCCATGTTGGGGCCATGTCCATCCTGTCAGAGTCGAAATCAGATGGTTGGTGGGTTGCCGTTGATGTCGAACGGCTGACCGCGTGCCTTCGACAAATTTGTCCCATTGTTCGGACGTTCCCGCAATCTGGGCGCGAACGGAAACCGTGAGATACCCCTGGCGGTCCCCCCTTAAGAGGCGCCTCGCACGAGACATCCTCAACATTTGCTCCGAAAGCGAAGGATGTTCGCGACCAAAACAGGCAAACCGCTCGAGACATCCCCGCCATTTTGGCGCAACCAGAGGCCGTGAGATAGCCTCTGGCGCCCCCCCTTGGGAGTGCTGAAACCAGCAAACCGCTCGAGACATCCTCATGATCTGCTCCTCCTCCTCCTCATCATCATCATCATCATCATCATCATCATCATCATCATCATCATCATCATCATCATCATCATCATCATCATCATCATGATCATCACCATCATCATCATCATCATCATCATCATCATGATCATGATCATGATCATGATCAACATCATCATCATCATCATCATCATCATCATCATCATCATCATCATCATCATCATCATTATTATTATGATCATCATCATCATCATCATCATCAGCATCATCAGCATCATCATCATCATCATCAGCATCATCATCATCACGTGACTGAATCCTCCTGGGATATCTTGGGGCTTCCTGGGGTTTCCTCAAGTCTCCTGGGGCTCCTGGGGCCTCCTGGGGCTTCTTGGCGCTTCGTGGAGCTTCCTTGGGTTTCCTGGAGCCTCTTGGAACTCCTGGGGCTCCCTGCGGCCTCCTGGAGCCTCCTGGGGCCTCTTGGGGACTCCTGGGGCCTCCTGAGGCATCTTGGGGACTGCTCCTCCTTGAGCCTCCTGGGGCTTTTGAGGCCTCTTGGGGCTTCCTTGGGCCTTCCTGGCGCTTCCTGGGGACTGAGCCTCCTGAGACCTCCTGGGTCCTTCCTAGCGTTTCCTGGGGCTTCCTCGGGCCTCTTGGAGCCTCCTGTCTTGGGGCTTCCTGTGGCTCTCTGATGTCTCATGGGACCTTCTGGGGCCTCCTGGGCCTTCCTGGAGCCTCCTGGGGCATCTTGGGGACTCCTGGGGCCTCCTGGGGCATCTTGGGGATTTCTCCTCCTTCAGCCCCCTGGAGCGTCCTGAGGCCTCTTGGGGCTTCCCTGGGAACCAGATGTAACAGACGCAAAACACGTCGGATTGGAACCATGGGAGAATGACAATCTATAGGAACATACGTAACACACCAAGGATTCGTGCCCCACAGGACGCCCAATCTATAGGAGCATACGTAAACCGCATAGGATTGGAGCCACAGGAGAAAGACAATCTATTGGAACATAAGAAAAACACTAAGGCCCAGGAGAGGCCTGATACATAGGAACATACGTAAAACACTAAGGCCCAAGAGAGGCCTCATGTATAGGAACATACGTACAACCGCTTTAGACATCCTCACAATCTGGGCCCCCTGGGGTGCGAAAACCAACACCTCTTGAGAGGTCCTGTGACTTCCTGATGTCTCCTGGGACCTTCTGGGGCCTCCTGGGCCTTCCTGGAGCCTCCTGGGGCATTTTGGGGCCTCCTGGGGCATCTTGGGGATTTCTCCTCCTTGAGCCCCCTCCCCTGGAGCTTCCTGAGGCCTCTTGGGGCTTCATTGGGAACCAGATGTAACACATGCAAACCGCGTAGGACTAGAACCACGGGAGAAGGACAATCTATAGGAACATACGTAAAACGCCAAGGATTCGTGCCCCACAGGACGCCCAATATAGAGGAACATGCGTAAACCGCATAGGATTGGAGCCACAGGGGAAGGACAGTATATAGTAACATAAGTAAAACACCAAGGACTCGTGCCCCAGGAGAGGCCTGATCTATACGAACAGACGTAAAACCTCTTTAGACGTCCTCGCACTCTGGGCCCCCTGGGGTGCGACAACCAGCGCCTCGCACGCGACATCCTCCAACTCTGCTCCGAAAGTACAGGATGTTGGGCCAGGAAACGCGCAAACCGCTTGAGACATCCCCGCAATCTGGGCGCGAACGGAGGCCGTGCAGCACCTTTGGCGCCCCCCCCATTAGAAGCGCTAAAACTAGCAAGCCGCTCGAAACATCTTCAGAATCTGCTCTGAGCGCAGACGAGTCTGGCCACCAACACGAGCAAACCGCTGGAGACATCCAATCTGGACCGCCTGGGTTGCGATAACGGGATGTTCGCGACCAAAGCAGGCAAACCGCTTGAGACATCCCCGCAATCTGGGCGCGAACGGAGGCCGTGAGATATCCCTGACGTCCCCACTTTAGAAGACGTCTCGCCTGAGACATCCTCAGAATCTGCTCCGAAAACGAAGGATGTTCGGAACCAAAACAGGCAAACCGCCTGAGACAGCCCCGCCATTGGGGCGCGAACGGCGGCCGTGAGATACTCCTTGCCCCCCCCCTTAGGAGTGCTAAAACCAGCAAGCCGCTCGAGACATCCTCATCATCTGCTCATCGTCGTCATCATCATCATCATCAGCATCATCATCATCATCATGATCAACATCATCATCATCATCATCACCACCATCATCATCATCATCATCATCATCAGCACGATCATCATCATCATAATCATAATCAGCATGATCATCATCATCACCATCATCATCAGCACGATCATCATCAGCACGATCATCATCATAATCATCGTAATCATTATAATCATCATCATAATCATCATCATCATCATCATCATCATCATTATCATCATCATTATCATCATCATCATCATCATCATCATCATCATCATCATCATCAATCACCAACCATCAATCACCAATCATCAGCATCAGCATCATCAACGCCGTCGTCATCATCATCATGCTCATCCATCATTCACCATAATTCAACACAAACAACGAGTGAAGGAAGGGATGATGATGGGGGTTCGGCGCGGTCAGAGAATTATTCATTGCGTGGAGCTCCCCATATGTGAAAGAGCGCGTTCTGTGGTCGCTTGGAGGGGGGAGGGGGGGTTTGAATCCGGACCCCCCCCCATCCGCCCTTTCCTCCCTCCCCTCCCCTGCTTCCCCTCTCCTAGGGCGGGCGCTTGCGTCAGCGGCGGCTGGCGGCGGCGGCGGGGACGACGATTTCCTTTTATTGGCAGGCTTCGGCGCCTGCGGCGGCGGGCGACGGCGGCGGCGGGGAGCGTCGGCGAGGACGGTGGTGGGTGGTGGTGGTGGGTTGTAGTGATGGTGGTGGCGGTGGTGGTGCTTGTGGTGGTGGTGGTGGTGTGGTGGTTTGTTGGTGTGGTGGTGGTTTTGGTGGTGGTGGTGGGTTGTGGTGGTGGCGGTGGTTTGGTGGTAGTTTGTGGTGGTCTGTGGTGGTGGTGGTGGTGGTGGTGGTGGTGGTGGGTTGTGGTGGTGGCGGTGGTGTGTGGAGGTGGTGGTGGTGGTGGTGGTGGTGGCGGTGGTGGTGGTCGTGTGGTGGTTTGTGGTGGTTGCGGTGGGTTGTGCTGCTAGTAGTGGTGGTGGTTGTGGCGGTGATGGTGGTGGTGGTAGTGGTGGTGGGTCTTTGTGGTGGTGGTGGTGGTGATGGTGAGTTGTGGTGGTGGATGTGGTGGTGTGGTGGTGGTGTGGTGGTGGTGTGGTGGTGGTTTGTGGTGGTGGTGGTGGTGGGTTGTGGTGGTGGCCGTGGTTTGTGGACGTGGTTGTGGTGGTGGTGGTAGTGGTGGTGGGTTTTTGTGGTGGTGGTGGTGATGGTGAGTTGTGGTGGTGGATGTGGTGGTGTGGTGGTGGTGTGGTGGTGGTTTGTGGTGGTGGTGGTGGTGGTTTTGGTGGGGTGTGGTGGTGGCGGTGGTTTGTGGACGTGGTTGTGGTCGTGGTGGCGGCGGTGGTGGTGGTGGTGTGGTGTTTTTTTGGTGGTGATGGTGAGTTGTGGCGGTGATGGTGGTGGTCTGGTAGATTGTGGTGGTGGTAGTGGTGGTGGGTTTTTGTGGAGGTGATGGTGGTGATGGTGAATTGTGGTGGTGGTTGTGGTGGTGGTGGTGGCTGTGGTGGTGGTGGTAGTGGTTGTGTGGTGGGTTGGTGGTGGTGGTGGTGGTGGTGGTTTGAGGCGGTGGTGGTGGTGGCAGTGGTGGCGGCGGTGGTAGTGGTGGTAATCGTCGCTGCGTCCCCGC